TTGTCAAATTCTTTAATTGACTCTCTAACATTTGAATAGTCATGATGTATTGCTAGATGCCGCTCATGACCTATAAATATAAATTAATTATCAAATTGATATTTGAGAATGATTTTTATTTATTGCCGACATGTTAGAAGCCTAATGGGTCACACACATTAAGTGACATGATTGGGATTAAATAAGGATAATTAATTAAGTTAGACTTAATTGAAAGAGATCAAAATAAAGTGAGAAATTAATTAAGTTCTCAAAGACTTAATTAAATTAAAATACAATTGTTGTATTTAGGGTTACAAATTAGTTTGGCTATATATAAATATGTTATATTAGTAAAGTAAAAACAAGAAGCCTCCAACCATTTTTCAGCCGTTTCATAAGATAAAAAAAGAGAAATAGTTTTCTTTGTCTGATAAAAATAAGATTCGGCAAGAATTTTGGTCCTTTTGTTTTAAAAACAAAACTGCTAGCACAAGTAAAATACTATCTTGGAGAATGTCTTATTTAGTCAATGTGTGGATTACTATTAGAAGCCAAACACTTGGGTGGTTAAAGATTTGACAAATCCTAAAGGAGAAGAAGAAAAAAATTTTGGATTAAATTAGCTCTTGATTACGATATCTAGAATAAGGTATATAACTCTTAAACCTATGAGTGTTTATAATTTATTTGAAAGTTACATGAAAAATACAAACATTGATCCTGTAAGATTCGACTGTTTTTCTTGATTAAATATTATTTTTATTTTTTTACTGCGTTATATTTTAATTTATAAATTATTTTTCATGTTTGAGTATGAGGTCGAATCCCAGCACCAACCACCTCCTCTCTCTCACCCATTCTAACTTCGCATGATCTCAGTAAGAAAGATGTACATTTCAAACGAGGATCGACAGTAATTGGCAACAATCTTCTACTTAGGAGTTGGAACAAACATGAAATTTAAATAACTTAATAATATATCCACATAAATATAAATTATATAAAATTAGTTAACTAGGAAAAGATTTAAAATTCATTTTCATGATAATAATAACATAATATTCACATGATAGAGTGTCATCTAAAAACGTAAAGCAATTTTACTTGCAACTGAAAGAAATGGCAGACAAGTAGATTTTCTTTATGAAATCACGAGATTTGTGTCACCACTTTAACTAGAGTCCAGTTAGCCACCCCCTATATACACCATATTACCACTGCTTGTTCATGTCGTATCCTACAAAGATAACCTACCAAAAGGAAAATTAATCCACCCATCCTTTCTCCTTTGCAATGATTCATCATGAAATGAACCTTTCCACAACATTTCTACTCACCATTTCTTTTGCCTCCCCGAAGTAACGTGATTAGATTTTGTGGAAGCCGTACTATATATATAGTAACAACAATTAAAGCGTATTAATTCAAATTCAACTCTTTAAACATGAGATTACATGCATGCCCTTGTTACTGAGCAAAATGTTCTAGCACCGAAAACCTGAAACTTGAGTCACAATAATAGAAAAGAGAATATTAGACCCAAGTTTAAGACTTGGAATATAATTTCAATCCAAGATTAGTGTTCTTGAATGACTATGGTTTTCAGAAACACATGCTTGTCTATGATTTGTACAGCCTATTAAGACACAGTCCTCCCTTTCGGAAGTGGTTCCTAACAAGGAAAGCCGTATATGGTTCCCGAATCCTAATATATTTGATTTCCTTTAATGAAGGTTTGGGCAAATGCACGTGAAATGAAAGAATGATTTATACGGTCCAAATCAAAGGAAATGAAAAGAAAAGGAATGATTTCCTCTCGCCAACCTTAGTGTCCACCTAGAATATGTACTCGTTATATGTTGCTATCTCATAAATGGACCCATGAAACCGACCCTAGTAATGGTAGATTCTCATTTCCCTCATTTGTCACATCTTCACAATGATATTCTCTCTATTGGTTTAACCTAGTAGCTAGCAAGTCAATTCAATTAACTTAGGGTGTGATAGATGAATTTAAACAATTCATAATTATTTTCTTATTTAAAAAGCTTAAATTCGCATTTTGCTAAAATTAACTCATAAAGAATTCCATGTCTTTAAAACAACACTCTTTGTCTTTGCCTTTTCTTTTATCTACATTGCATTCACTTTGCCCTTTACCCTCTTCTTTTTTGCAATTGATTCTTGAAGAGAAAAACACTCTCTTTAGATTCTCAAACGTCCCTTGTAATAGATTTCTTATTATGACTTGGGAGGAGAAAATTACAAGCCTAGCTAGGATTGGGTAATTAAGCATCTTTTTTTTTATTACTTTGACCTTTTTATCATTGATTGGAGGAATAAAAAGGAGATGCCCACTTGCTTCATGCTTTGTTCTCATGGGCCAAAAGCCAACAAAGCCAACAAAGCCTCTCTCTCTCTCTCTCTCTCTCTCTCTTCATATCTAAATGCTCACACAAGATGGTACAATTAGAGTTGATTTGATACAAACAGGCTTGACTAGATACCTATCACCTACATATATTTGTGGGCATATTCTCCTTTACTTTACCTTGCTTCCTTAGTAAAATTAAAGGCAAAGCACATGGAAAGATGGACACTTTTGGTCCGTGTAAGAAGGGCATGGTGGAGTGGGCAAGGGGTTCAAATTAAACTTGTCAAGCCCCTCCCTAACGTTCTCAAGAAAAGCAAGAAAGAAAGCTTCTTCCCCTGCTTTACATTACCTTCTCACATGGCGGTTTTCTATTTTCATGCTACAATTATGCAGTATTGGGGTAGAGCAATCATGTTTTTGCTAAGGCAACCCTATATGACATACTTCCCATTTTACAAAGTTTCTTCCAAGGGTTGGACTGGTTTTAGGGAGCTTGGGGTTAAATTATTTTTACTGGCATAATATTTTGAGGACTTTATGCAAACCCGCAAGAGCAATATGCTCGAAAGTAACATAAAAGAGCTTAAGTTGCTTTGTGATTCTTTATCAAAGCAAGGACCCTAAAATGAATTTAAAGATTTTATTTTATTTAGTATAGATAATTAACAATATAATAAAAATATTTACCATCAGGAAAAGGTGACAAGATAATTAACATTTCAACTCAAATACATACGTAGTTTTTAATTAAAATTTTTTAATATAATAATTCATATTACAATTGATCATATTCCATAGCAAAATAAGGAATGCTATATATTATATCTTACAAGCATCGTGCCTTGGGAATTTGTATCAAAGGTGTTTATCAATGAGACTCATATTGTAGGGCATTGCTTATCAATTGAACAACCGGTTAATTCAAAACATGCTTCACAACTTAGAAGTTTGCTAAAGAAAAATGAGAAAACATTCAGAGGGAAGAAAAGTAATTTCTGCAATACGTGGCAGGAGATCATTGTCTGAAGGTATCAACCGTAGAGAAGGGCACAGCGTGTATAGGGAACAGTTGCATTTTGGGGGCAAAAGCAACACCGGCTTTTGAACAAACATCATTAGTTGGTCCATTAGTTCACCATAGGATCTTCCAAACTCATTGGAGAATACATTTTACTTTTCATTATTCAGTTGGTTCGCCCTTTTTCAGCTCACCAGCACAGAGAAAGAAAGGCAGCAGACAAATTGCACTTTCCATTAAAGCATCAATCAATCAATCAATCAAATAAATAAATAAACAAAACCCAACTATAAATATAAGTTGCTGAAATAATGGTGCTTTCCTTGACTCATTTCTCTGTTTGCTTAATTGTGATTGTGCAGTCCGCTTGCACTCATGGGTGAGTAATTAACTACCCTCGCCCAGCATCAAGTTTACTTGATTAGTTTTGCTTTTTAGTTTCTGGGTCCGTTCTGTTTTCTTGTTTTGGTCTTGCAAGTTGGTTTCATGGGAAGTAATGGTTCTTTTTAATTAATAAACAGTTGTGGTTGATATTATTAACTGATCAGGCTTTTTCTTTTATTTGAAAGTAATGGGAAATGCTGGTGGTAGAGAAGATGGAGAAGGAACCTCAGGAGCAAAGAAGAATGGATATGAAGTAGATAAAGAGCAGTCTAATTCAGACCCCATGCTTCACTCCCC